TGTACAATATCCGCTAACCGGATTGCCACGAACAAGAAACACATGCCAAAGACATTACATCTTTGAAGCCTAGTAACTCTGTGAGTAGTTGACAGGTTTACTCCATTATACCTTACAGACCTAGCCAAAGGTCCCCTCTCAATTATCCTGCAAACAGGATCCAGTCGGACTGACAGCATCAATGTATATAGTATTATTCTGACACCTTCAATTCTGTGGCATTATATTCACAGGATGCAACTGAGACTGATATTTATGATAGTGTGCGGGCCACATACGGGGGCTGGAGGGGGGTATTGGAGACTAGGGATTCCAATTCCAGGTGGAGTTACAGTACTTAAAGTGATTCCTAGGTATTGGATCCCGGTATTCCTAATAGTTACAGCCTTTCTAAATCCTAAAATTGATGAGGAGACTGCAATAGCCATTCTACAGGGAATCGAATGGTTGGAACCTGTACTCTTATTGGATCTTATGCTCCTCTCAGCCCTTTAGCTTAACAAAGCACTCTATGACCTCAAGCAGGCTCCACAGCTATGCTATAAATACAGTGTAGCTGTTCTCTGTAACATAGGATTTACTGCAAGCAGAGGAGACCTCAACCTCCACCTGTCAACTGTACAAGCTATGATGATCGTACTCTATGTAGATGATATCCTCATATCTGTGTGAAACAATACTCAATTTCTGTTCTCCCAAATAATAGAGGCCATTCAGTCACATTACAAAATCACCAACCTGGAAGCAGTCAAGTAATATCTTGGAATTGCAGTTAACCAAATAAAGGATCCATTCAGCTAGACTAATCACATTTTGTAGCTAAGCTCCTTACAACATTTGGCCTACAGAGTTGCAATGGACATACAACTTCCTTGGAGCCTGGATCTTATTTCCATCAAGATACGACCCCTCCCTCTGAGTCAGAGCTGTAGACCTACCAGTCACTTGTGGGAGGAATAATGTACCTCATGTTAGAAACAAGACCAGCTCTGACCTATTCAATTTCAGTTTTGTCCAAGCATACTGTAAAGCCTTAGTAGCACCATCTTGGAATGGCCAAACATGTCTTTGAGATACCTTAAGCAGACACAGAAGCAATTACTTACCTATACTCTTTCAGACTCTCATGAAGTGTAAGCAAGCCCAATAAGTGGCTTCACTGATTCTGACTTCGCTGGAAATGCTACTAATCATTATTCTACCTCTGGATACATCTTTCTCTATGGCCAGACAGCAATCTCTTGGAAGGTTAAGAAACAAAGCTTGATAGCCCTATCAACAACCAAAGCAGAGTATGTAGGTGCAAGCGAAGCCTCTAAAGAGGCTATCTGGCTTTGTCACATTCTGTATGAATTGCTTTCTACTCCCAAGAATCCTGAATCAGCTAAGTTAATCCTATCCAATGCACCTATCACTCTTCATATCAACAACCAAGCTATGATTAAGTTGATTCAGAATCCATCTTTCATAAACGAACAAAGCATCTTGAGATCAAGCACCACTACATATGCCATATATTTGAAAATGGAGAAATCAACCTCCAGTATGTTCCTAGGAACAACAACCTTGCTGATATTATAACCAAGTCCTTACCAGCTACAATATTCTGATCTCATCTTCACCTTATGGGACTTTGGAAATGGATTGCTTAGAAGGATTTTTCTGTACCTTGTTTTTCGTTTTCTTACATTTCTTGTCTCCTGTGTAGTACTCTTTTCCCCTATCCAAGTTGCTTTTTTCCCACAGGGTTTTGCCATAGATAACGAGTTTTTAATAAGGCTACAAGTTCTGTATTCTTTCTTTGTACTCTTTCTCCTTCTTGTCTTCCTTCCTTCTATTCTTATCTACTTACAAGAGAATCATTGAAGTGTGGGAGTGTTGGAATAATAGCTTCAATGTGACAGAGTCATGCCTGGTAAGGCATACTGGATACTTGCTCATAACTACTGTATATAGATACCTCTGTGAGGTATAAGTACTATCATCATGTACCCAAGTAGATGATATGACGAATAATTCTTATCTTTTTTCTAAAAGTCTACACTTCTCTATTGAACTTCTAGTACCACCGTGCCCTTCACATACGAGATATTCAGACAACCGCTGTGATTTTAGTATCGAGTGATCTCTCATGGTTACAATTTCATCAGCACAGGGGGGTCTTAAGTGCAGTGTAAGTCACCCCCAACGATACGCACCAAGTCGAACTCTCCTACCGGGGAATGTCTCCCGCTTTTGGTTTGTGAAATCTGGTGGAATGAATAATGACTGTCAAGATTTTCGGTGCAAGTTATAGATAGTTATGTGGCTCCCCACTCTGACTCCTTCCATACCTCGGTATGATACAAGAATGGGTCTTAGACATAGCTCGTTGTCTGTCGACAGTTGTGCTTTGTGGGTGTGCAGCGGACCCAGTGCAAGGTGAAGGGGAAAAAATGTCCATTCGAGTGTTACACTTTCCACGTCAACCCTCGCATCATTTGTTATATAGATATGATAATCACTTTATAATAAGAACAAAACTATTATTATAAATCTATGGCCAATAATAAATGGCTTTAGGTTTAACCAGATTTATTTTCTCTCTTAATACTAGACGTTTATTCTGATCTTTGTACTGCTTTAAATTCTCACAACGACAATCAAGTCTCAGAGTTCTTTGATTACAATTTCTTGTTACCATTAAGTATGATCGTACTCAAGAGGGATATAGAAAACCAGGCTCCATTCTTTTCATAGTATCATACGTTCCAACTGTATCAGAGTTAAACTATCCTAGGACGGAGTTAGCCAATTTCATCGGTTTTTACGGTAAACCTATATAGTTCATGTGACAGTGCATCTCACTTCTTCTCTTGGGCACCTTCTACTACCGGTATTACTCGAGTACTGCAACCCCATCTCACCAACTCTGACTACGCACCTGAATCTGAGGGGGGAGGCAAGTTAGTATAGTGGGCTTAGCCCAATAATCACATACATAGCTCGTATCATACCTCGTCTATTCTTCAACCTTCTATTCTATCGGAGGCCAAATACAAGATGAGAAGGAGAAAAGACATCAATCAAACCTTCTCCATGAGCGCCTCTTCCCTCCTCCTCTTCTCATCATCACTAAGCTGCCTCAGAGCCTTCTTCCTCCTCCTCGCCTCCCGAATTCCAAAACTTGTACTCAATATCTCCGCCACTTCCTCCAGGGTGAGCCCACTCAAATCCGGGAACAAGAATAGAACAAACAACCAGCCCAAAAAGCACAGCCCAGCATAAAACCCAAACGCACCGCTGGGTGTCATCCGGTCCATCATGGTCAAGAAGGTGGATCCAAGGATCAAGTTCGCACCCCAATTCGTAGCGGTGGCCATACCGGTTCCGAAACCGCGCACGTTGTAGGGGAAAACCTCAGACTGCCCGACCCAAGCGATGTTGCCGATCCCCAGGGCGTAAAACATCACGTAGATTATTTGACTCACCAGGATTAGGATGGCCCAGCGGTTGGAACCTGTCGCGTTGATCTCGCCGGTGCTAGCATCGCGGGGGAGATAGTGGAAAGCTATTGCGCAGATCACCAGGCCGGCAGAGCAGCCCCAGAGGGTCCCAACCAGGATTCTACGACGGCCGACGCGGTCGACTATAGTGAAGGTTACACACTTTTGTTACATTTGTTAGTAGGGCGCGCGCAAAGTGCAGTAGTGTTGGAGGTTTGCGATTAGGTAAGGGTGAAAATACCGTCATCAGGAAGTTCGTTCCAGCAACAATGAGACTAACTGCTGTAGGATTTTCAAATCCCACAATTTTGAATATTGTGGCGGAGCTGCAGGAGCCCATTAGCTATTGATCCCTCTCCCATAATAACTCTCGGACATCTGGGAAACTTACAAGTACATTAAAGAATTAAACCCAGAGAATTGCTACCATCCATTATTAGTACGCCTCCTAAACCTCAAATTATCACCCTTTTGTATATAGCAGATATACCTGAATGCCTTGCAACCCACAAGCAAGAACTAATGCCCGAAGGTTAGACGGGACGATGTACAGACTCTTGAAGTCCCTCCTTGCCTTCTCCCACTTTGTTCCGGGCCTCTTATCCTCAGTGAACTCGCGAATGTAGGAGACCTTTTCTTCAATATCTGCTGCTTGCACCCCACTGTAGACCGCGGATAAGACCTCCCGTGCTGCTTGATCTCGACCTTTCCGAACCACTAGCAATCAAAAAAAGGGAAAAGAAACGATATGTTAGAGCCTCTGGAGCGCAATGGTGGAATTGGCAAAAAAAAAAAAGAGAGACCAAATGAAAGCCACTTACGATAACGAGGACTTTCCGGAAGCCAGAATAGGATTATGCATTGGATGCCGGCGGGGATAGCTCCAATCCCAATCATTATTCTATCAATTGGCTCACCAGTCAATTATTGCCATTTATCCCCACTTGTGGGAGGGGGGCAAGGCTATTCACCTCCATCCAGCCTCTACGTGCGTGAGCCCAGCTCCAATAGCATAGGCAACAACTTGACCGAAGGTGATGAAAAGCACATTGATGAGAATCATCCTCCCACGATATTGTGCCTGGTTGATTAGTCAGTATATTTTCTTATCATGCTTAGAAAAAGCAAATACACGAAAACAACAGGAATTGAACAATAGACCCACAGGTGAAAGCTCGGCGAGGTAGAGCGGTACAATCAAACTAGCCAAACCAACGCCCCAACCAATAACGAAACGACTAAAAGAAAAAAGGGTCCCGTAAGTATTCGCCCCGGTGGCGGTACAATGTAAGTTGGGGAAAAAGGGGAGCTCAAACATACCCCACCACCATAACCCAGACAGACTTGGCGACAGCTTGAATAACTGCCCCTGCAACGAACACAACATCAGCGATAGCAATAACCCTTTTCCGCCCAATCTGGTCTGCAAGTGCGCCCGAGAATGCACTGAAGATTAAGGCTCCGAGTGAGGTTGCTGCCGTGATGAATTCTTTCTCTTGATTAGATAACTCTGCCGGACCAAGATCACCTGCGATCACCACGAGTGCTCCGGAAATGACACTATGGATAACAGACAAAAATCAGTAAACTGCCCCCCCGGGCACCTGCCAGCCCCCCAGCTCGACCTCAATGATTAATGGCAGTAAGAGCCTACCCGGTATCATAACCAAACAGTAACTACCGCCCATCAAGATTGATTAGTTATTTCCACACATAACCTCACTAACATGTGAAGTGTAGAGGAGAGAAGAGAAGATTTAATACCCCACTAATCCCAGAAACAAATGTCAAAACCCACATCCACAACGTTGGAGTTTCAGACACCTGCGTCTGCTCGCCCCCAACGGAGGTGTAATTTCCTCCAGCTTCATCCCTCCGTTCAATATTCTCATGGGGTGAATCATGAGCCTTTGGTCCGGAACTGTTCCCCCCATGGACGCTGACGATCTCTTCACCCGTCATGTCGATATATATATCACACAGACGCTCACACCCTCACACACTCTCACTCAATCGCCAGTGCACGCTGTAACGGAAGAAAAAAGTGTCGAAGGAGACCAGGGAAGAGTGGAGCTCTGAGAAAATTCGGGGAAGAACAATGTAATAGATATATATGCCGGTATAGGTATGTATCCACCAAGTTTCCCTAGAGCAATCCTTACACAGGTGTCATACGGCTCAGCAGGCTCTGTGGATGCGATAACCCGGCCGTGCAGACGCAGATGATTGCGAAGCAGAAACGGCAACGATGGACAGACAGGAAAGGGGGGGAGGAGGTAAGAGAAAATGGGGTAGAGACGGAATAATTCAGGGAACCAAAGGAGGATACAAAACCTGAAAAAGGATTTACAATTTGGCTGAACTTGTGTTTAGAGGTTCAGTGCGGTGGTTTTTTAATTTCTCTTTAGTCGCCCTGCCTTTCCCTTGCTACTCTTGGTTAATCGATGGTGGGAAATTTGGAATGAAAAATTATGGAGTTTTTCTCGCTACAAACAGCTTTCTCCGGAAGGGGGGTGGACAAGTACGTATTATGATCACAAGTGACATACTTACGATGTTCATTCTATAGTCCTGCTATCCGGTTATTTGTTACACTGTATAATACTGTTTGAAAAATCAGTATTTCTTGTGGGGGAGTAGAATAGAAAATTCATGAGTTCATATCTCGCACCGGATACCGAAGGTGTTGGCCCACCAGGCCTCCCTCTTGCTCGTTTTCCCTCCCAGATATTCATCTATCCTTCTACGATACCTATACCATGGTTCCATTGCACCATACTGTATTATACAATCTCACAACATCAACCCAAGACAAAAGGCGCTCCTCCGCTAGAAATCCTACGAGTACAGAACGGCAAAAAGGGTAGCTCGAAATATTCTCCTCCCTTCCTTCCCAAGTTGAGTTAAAGCAAGATCATGCATCGGACCCGAGTCCGATGCGGCAATGATGCGGCAACCCTTCTCCCGCCCTCGCGGCTACAAGTTACCGATACTTACTCGCAGAGAAAGGCTGGCCGTTTGATTGTCCGTCAATACTGTAACCCTATTCTTGATGGTTGAGCCGTAAACTCTACCAAGATTTAGAAATGTGGTTTGCCCCGCCAACTATGATACCATCCTCCCTTTTCTCCGCTGACACCAGTGAGTGGTTGTGTGGCCCCAACATTAGTAAGTACTAGTAAACCACAAACTATCATACTGTACAAGCTGGCTAACCTACAGTAGCTAAGACCCGTCCATTTGTTAAACTAGGTTTTGAGATGAACTGGGTATCATACCTCGGACCCCACAAGTGCTCGAGCATGATACTTTATTCCAACCGTGCTCGAGCATTGTGCGTTGGGCGATTGAATATATTCTTACAAAGTCGTCGTTGATTCCCAGCTACCCAAGGATCTATTGAAAATCGGCAGAAATAACCCTCATCTCGATAGAGTATTATATAGGATCTACGGAAACAGCTTTCCGATCCTCACTACACCCTCCGAGTACAATGCAGTGACGGCATCATGCGGTTACCAAGAGCTCTACCCCAGTACATAGTATCCAGAGGACCCCAGAATCATCTCTTCCCACCCCGCAGGAATCCCCACGCTGCGCTAAACTATTGACGCATAGTATGATACCGGTAATCCGCCGGAGTCTAATGTCACCACAAGACAATTGAAATAAAATAAAAACCTGGGGAACGTTGGCGATACACCCAAATGGCACAACCTACAAACTCACCTCACGGCGCTGTACCAGACCACCACGATACGTCACGATACTTGAGATGACCAATTAAACCTCTCCTTGCTTACTTCCGAAACTTCCAGGTATATACCCGCGAGGGGGGGGGGGTGGCGCAAAAGTATCATAAGGTTACATTGTCACCTCGATGAGCTCACAGGGTCTGTTGATTGTAGCAATGGTAATGTAATTGCTCAGTTAGCTCCGGGGCACAAGTAGCCGGTTACCTAGGTACAAGTATTATATACCGCACAAGGCACGATTTGGTACGATATTGTTACTGACACGAAAGGAGAAAATTTTCCTGGCCATAAGCCTCCCTCCCTCCCTCTCCTCCCTCAGGCAGGAGGCGTCTCCCGAAATAAAAATCATTCCTTAATTCTCTGTAACGCACTAAATTGAGTTACCAATCAAGCGTAGGCCAGATATTATAGAAATCAAACATCATTTGAAGAAGCGTATTATCGTGAAGCCCCACCCCTTTCCTCTTAACACCAAGCGTCATTGTGATACTAGTGGTAATCCCCTAGGTGATCTCGGCTTGAGATTCAACGCCCGCAGCAGCAATGCCTTCCCTTCCGAAAACCAAAAAAGGTCAAATCCAGAATAACTTTCTATCTGGCATACCTCCTCTACTGTAGTACTTCGCCTGCCCAGTGTCAGCTGTTAATTGAAAATTGAAAATTTCGACTTTTTTGGTGCGTTTTAGCTAGTTCACTTTCCCGTCCGATCAGCTTCCTGGTCCAATACGTTAGTGAAAATGTCAAAGACATGAGCCCCATCTCACGTGCTCGAGTATATCGGGGGTCACTTGCCCGATGACAGAGCTGTTCCACCGAGAGTTAGCAGGCGCTCAAGGGGGAAAAGGTAATTCCAGCGGTCGGATTGGTCGGATGACAGCTGGTCATACCATCCAATCTGTCACAAAGAAACTTATAAGCATAACGCAATCCTCCTCACTCTAATACCCAATGGCTAACCCTTCCCAATCCTTGGGTAGTAGTTAGCCCCACTCAATTCCAACGACGATACTTAGCACTTACAAGTTCCAGGCACAGGGTCCCCAAGTTATTGTTCCCATTAGCAGCCATATTTCCACCTATACATGCCACGATAGTCTAGGGACCCCACACAATGCCGGACCCCACACAATGTCAAAAGTGAATAACGAACAGCCAAACCGCAGACATGGCCCGCAGCATCCGGCACGATGGGTCAGCCATTGGCCTTCATTCTTGGTAATGACTTCAATGACGAAACGGCAGAGCGCCATCCCAATCGCACCCGCAAAGATAACGGGCTTCGGCCAATCTCCGAGACACCACGACCGGAACCTAAAAACAAAGATCAACAGACAGCCCCCAACGTCCGGTATCAAACATACGTAACTGTAGCCAAGAACACCTCAATACCTACTACGATACATACATCAGTGACATGAAAGGACATAGTGTCATTAAACTTACCAAGCTGGGCGAAGATCGAGGTGCGTAGTGCAAAGCTAACGTATACAGTTAGCGTCAAGGACTTAGTAAACCTGCAATAGCGCTTGTATAGTAAAAATGAACTACTTGCACTATCCCACGTTTATTCCGGTAAATTGCTAAGTTACTCGTAGAAACAAGTTCGTACAACGCCAGCCCTGGCCAAGATTCCCCCTCCAGGATCCGCCGCCAGATAGTAACAAGAGCTTGGCAAGCTTACTCGAGAGCACGGCTATATGAGGTTTGTTAGTAAATGATGTGACAATCGACGAAGAATTTTGTCTCTTTCAAAACTGCTTGCTAAAGGTAGAGAGAGACCATGACCCTACAAAGCATTCTCCAGGTTTGAAACAAGTTGGCCAAGCTCAATGCCTCCAATTTTATGTAACCCTAACGTGTCAGCTCTTTGGCTGCGGGAATCTCCCAGCATCAGCCCGCTTCTCGAACACACGCCGAGACCTAACCCCGGGGAGCACCGAGCTGATTAACCCATGGTCTAGGCGAGCCCTCGAATGCGAGTAAGGACATCGATGGCTCCCTCCTAGTGACCATGGTGAGCCAGCCCTCTAGGTGACAACGGCATATGATATCATAAAAGAGATGCCAACTCCAGAATAACTGAGGTGACAAGTTTCAGGGTTAGTGGAAGCAGCCTGCCCTTGGCCGGTGCAGCCAATCCCGAGGTCTCGACGTCAGGGGATTCCACGACCTGACCTTAGCACTGTATACCATGAGAGAAAGGATCACACATACCAGAAAGAGGCCACGATACCAAAAGTAATAACCAGTTGCTACAGACCAATAAAGGACCCCCCGACGTCAGGCTGTGCAATCTAAATTCAGGCTTCTTGAGCAACCCATCACCAACCATCATCCTCCTCTCTTGCTCCGAAAGCATGAGATACACCTCCACGTTGGATATGGAAACTGTCATACTCAAGGAGCTCACACCCATACTTACAACCAACCAACCCCCCCCGAACATGCGAGGAGCTTCCCACGGCCGCACAGATCGTGTTTTCACACCGATGTAGAAGGTGGCCAGTTTTACGAGAATAGTGAACTCTCCCAATCTTCTCTCAGCCGGAACACCAAGTATGTTGTCCCGGCCCGGGGTCCTAATTCAAGGACTGTTACAGCAAGGCTCAGTATTGCCCGGCGAAAATTAATTCAAATCACAGAAACACGTATTCGCAAGCAGTCCTCTTTCGTGCCACCGGAACCCATCTCCCATCTATCGTGGACTCATTAGCAACCCATGCCACCAGCCAAAGCTATCGTACGAGATAATAAAACCAGCTTACGTGTGTTTGGGGGATGTATAGCCACTGCAAACCCGAACCATCATAGCGCCAGTCACTATTAATCACACTCTCTTATACTCGTACTAACGCTGGGAGCACGGTAGTAAGGGGGATGGGAAATAAAGGCGTTCCAGTGCCACAAACTCACAAACTCCCGAGAAAACTCCTTGATTGTAACCATAGGGAAGACTGGGTACAAGAAACATAATAAGTCATCTGAGCTCCCCAAAGGAGCCCAAGCTCCGTGCCATACCATCCTATGCAGGCAAACCTTGCCATGCCAAAAACTTTGCAATTCCGCATCAGCCTCGCGGGCCCTGATTGACCCGGAGAGATCCTGGTGTCTAACAATTGCCGCTTTATCGGTCCCAGCTTCAATTACCCCCCCACACGTGATCCCGATCCGGTCGCCATTGTGTGTCGCTATCTGGGTTGATGGGTCTGCCGTTTTCCTAGCATTCCGACCTATCACTAGCCTCTCCACTTTTTCTTTTCTTTTTTGTTTCTTACTGCAAGGTCTGTAGATGCGGATCCCGATGAAAAGGACTGGAAGAGCACGGGGGGCGTGGTATTTGATTTATATAAATATCAGGTCCAAAGCCCAACTAGCTCCGGCTAAATTACCAAGAAGCCTCCTTTCAATTCAATCCCTGGAATTGTGGAAATTTCTCTACAGCCCGAAAAGAAAAAAAAAATCCCTGAGTCTGAAGAGAGCTGGATAAATACCACCCCCGCCGGATCAGCTAATACCCACGGGAGCCCAATTCCTTAAGTGGCAAATCTGGTGATAGCCACTGTGTGATAGCAAATAACCACAACGGTTCACATGTGCTGTAGCGCCTGCTTAGGCCTCCTAGCTCTCCCAGCTCTCCCAGTTCTGCTGACAGGAGGTGTCAGAAAACTCATAACGTCTGACTATTATACTCGAATACCGGTACTTCAAGAATCAAATCCTATCCGTGGATTGCCCCTCCTGGTTTGTAAGACCTCGGTCATTCTAAAAAGCTATCGGTTAAACTCAAAAATAAATACTTCCAAATGTGATACTGTACTCGTACTTGCACTGTACCGTACTGCAATGGTTGGCCGCTGACCAATAACAACCATTACTCCTCTAGGGGGAAACTCGGCACTTGTGAGACAAGAAGCT